AGGGGGCCACCAAAACAAGCATCCCGTCCTTGCTGCTGAGCTGGCTGGTGAGATCGACTTCCACTTGGTCGGAGAAGCTGGTCTTGGAACGCGCGAAGCGTCCGGGCGCCATTCCCAGCGTATTCGTGCGGCGGAGTGCCGGCATCCCCAGGCCGCCCAAAGGCTCTGGCGTGAAGCTGGCCTTGGAAAACAGCCAGAAGACGCGTCAATCCGTTTTGGGGTGGTGCCGCATGCTGGTGCCTAACATCATGCAATGCAAAAAAGTTAACCAAGAAGTCCATCTATACATATATACACAGTATAATTCTATTCCTATTCCTATTGCTGCATGCTTTTGAAGAGTGAGCTGCACTTGGAACTTGGAGCAGCTTGAAGTCTCGAAGATTCCAAAACCTGTAGCATCGACAAACAGATGTAGACGTGTACAAGAGTTTAGGCGGCCAGTTTGGTAGCACATACGCTTGTACACAACCGGGGCTCCCCTCCATGAACCTACCAGCTAACAGGCCCCCCCCAAAGATTCCCAAACCAAATTGAAGTGGTCTTCCACACGTTGCCTCTGAGTGTCCAATATATCAATGGCAAGGAGACCTCCTGGACTTTGAAAGTGCCCTGCTTGGAACCCTAAACCCTACACAGGCTGTGGAACTTCATAGCTAAACCCGATTCTTGAGAGACTCGAGGATTGAGTTGGTGCTTTCGCCAGATTGTGCTAGCAAAGTAGGACCCGACACACGTTGCCCACTACTTCGAAGCCCACAATCGAGTATGGGCACCACACGTTCAGTTGGGATTTTAATAGTGAATGACGGATGGAGATTCACCACCGGCACAGTCTCGAAACACGGAACGGTCTCTCCAGCAACATGGCGGCAATGGTCTCTTTCGTCTGCCACTTCAATCAGAAATAACCCTGCCCTTCAAGAACACTGTGCTCTCTCTCTCTCTCTCTCCCCTCTCTCAAGATGGTTCATCTCCGGAGATCTCCAGACGAGAAAAAAAAGCCCCACCACCTCCGTTCTGAAACCGAACATCACAGAATCATGTACTGCCTCAAAATCCCCCCAAAAAAGACACCTCCTTCATCAGAACACCGCCGTCCTTCATCCGAATGCCCTGTCTTCCAACGAAACAACACGGCTCCACTGGCGTCCGGCGGCTCCACCGAGCGGCTCGGCGGACGGGAGGGCTGGGACTGCCCGAGTCGGAGGACTGCGCGCGCAGCGTTCGCTTCTGCTCATCGATGGCCTTTTGGAGGTCCTCAAGGTGGTGGTTGGTGGGAGGTTTCGCCCGGTCACATGGGTGGTTGAGGAGGGTGATGGTGTCACGAAATGCCCGAATTCAATCGCTAAAAGCATCTGACAGCCCAAAACCTTCTGATGCCCACGAAAGAAAAAAGAACGATCAGCAGTAAGATTGTGAGGTGTTTTGATGGTGCGTCGGTGTTCCGCCGCCATTTTGGGACACCGCCATTTGAACACAAACGCTCATATTGTACACCTGGACTTCTTGGGTGCAATGTCGAATATGAACTCCATCAGTGACACCGCCCTTGCTGCTGTGCCTGACCCACCAACAAAGTTTGGTGGGAGAACTGGCAAACACATTGGTTGGAGTATCTGTGAACCTTGTTGTTCCAAGAGAACTATACAAGAACATGGTGTGTCTCAAAATGAGGCGGCACCCCCAATTTGTGGGTGTGTGGTGCACAAAAGACCTTTTTGATTGAGACTCTGGGACGCCCTGATCTACAGTTTAGGGCTCAGCAGAAAAAGGGGGCAAACACATCTGCATTCACCACGTCTGGGGTGGAGACGTTGGGATCCAAAGACCCCTAAGGCCCCAGTCGGGGCCCCTCCGCCCATCCAGTCGTCCTTCTCGGCATTGCGCCGCTGCTTCAAAGCCTTCCGCAGGTGTCCCACATCCTGCATGGAAAAATCGAGCCACGGGTGAATGCGAAGGGAACACGGGGGCATGGAGTTCCTGAGGCTTGGTAGCTAGCAACTTGCATGCAGTACATGTCTCACATATAGACCCTGCAACAAACGTCTTTCCAGTCGGGGCAAATATTGAGGCACTGTTCAAAGAATAAACAATGTTGGTGTCGATATGTTTATACATCTGCGTTGTTTTGCTACTTCTACGTCCTTCATGTTTTTCTGTTGCGAACTTGCTGCATCTTTCTGCGTCGTTTTCCGGCGAGGCGGGCAAAAACATCTATTCAGGGATATTCAGGGTCCAGGCATGTGCTTGAGATTGCTTGAGTAAAGGAACATGATCTTCCAAGATAGCTTCAACAATCAGAAAAACGAGTCAACCGCCATACTTATATAGGCACAGTATGGTGCAGTATTTATATATATATATATATATACGTACATGTTACATGTGTCATTCAGGGAGTATGCGGAGTATGTGAGAGCCAAGGCCCCCCAAATTAACCAATTGGCAGGCTTCATCGGGTGCTGCATGCGATCGCGGCACCCGAACATGATCGTCCTCCTCCAAAACCCTTTTGGCCGCACTCATCTTCTGCTCTTCCTCTCTGAGCCTTGCTGTCAAGCATAGGCCGCGAAAACACGACGTGGAAGCCTATACCCCTTTTTTGGCGATTGGAGATGCGATTGGTAGAGCATCCTTGCAAATCGTGGCCCTGGATTTGTTTGTTCCGCTTTGGAAAGTCTTGCAAGGGATCATTCCATATATGGAGTGTCTGGCAATGGGGGCACCATTTCAAGGAGGGTCATGAGAGGTGCTTGCATTCGCCAAAGCAGCGAATGCAAGGCCTGCTAAACCCCGAATCATCCCGAGGCAAACTCTGAGATGCCAAGGAGCACACGACCCATGGGAAACTCTGAGATGCCAAGGCTGATGCCCTGCTTCAAAGAGCCTTTTTCTCAAAGCACTTGCTGCCAGGGTTTGCCTTTTGCGGGGGTTATGAACGTGAGAAGTCTGCCTTTCTCCGGAAGCTTCTAGCTTCTCTTGCAAGAACCTTTCGGTTGCCAAAAGGTCAGGGGTCCCTCAGCGGCCTTTTTTAAAGCCTCTGCACACATTGTAAAATACATTTCCTGTCCTCCATCTAAGGCCAGAAATGCAGCAGGCACTCAAAAATGTCAAACTGCTGTTCAGAATCATGATTCATGCTGACAAGATGTTGAGCAGTTCATGCCCTATATAGCTAAACTGTACCTAGACACGATGTGCATAACACCAATTTGTATGCACGATTTCAGCACTGGCGCCTAGTACTTGGACCATCTTCGACCATCCTGTTGGGGTGTCCGATGAAGTCTGAGGTACAAGCGCAAGACCCCAGTACTCTGAGTGCTGTGTACAAAAAAAACTCCAAAGAGTGGCTCCGCGTTCGGATGGTCAAGTTGAGTTCAGTTCCATGGGAGTAGCGGTTCATCTGAGGAGCTGTTCATTCATCCGGCGCAGCTCTTCTTCCATCTCCTGAGCATTTTGGAGCTTCAAGCGAAGAGCTTGTCCATCCTTAGTGGAAGAATCCCCAAAGTCAAATGGCTTGCACCCATGAAGTCCTACCGGTAGAATGACAGAAACAAATGGATCCAAGGTCATTGAACGTAGACCGTGGTGCTTGGGTTTCGATGAACGAAGACCAAGGGAGATCTGATAAGAAAACGTCTCTTGCATCTGACTGTGGGTTGTGAGAGCCAGTAAGGCACCTGTTACTACTAGCGTGGCACTTGTTTCTAGTAGCTTCTTGTTATTACTAGTAAGGCACTTGTTACTAGAAGCGATGCACTTGTTTCTACTAGCGTGGCACTTGTTATTTTAGCTAACAACTATATCTACCAGGATCATCCTGTCTGGGTGTCCTGGCGTTCGACTACCCTGCCCTACTTGCAGGTCTCCAGACAGGGCACTCAGACAGGAAGTGCTAGGTATAGAGTGTTGATCATATCGGCATGCAGTTAACGCATATCAATGCAAACATCATCTTCACACCAAAGTTGGGGTGCTCTCCCACATTCCACCCGCTCATTGACCTCTCACCCCAGGATGTGTGAATTCAACTACGTCCCTTTGCCCTCCCCGCCGCTGAACCCCCGGCGTCACGCTCCAAGGTACATACTCCGCGCTGCGTAGTTGCTCTTCCAGGCGCGAGCGCTCCTCTGACCAGGACCGCTCCTGACCTCCAAAAGATGTTGGTGCCGCATTGTCCGCGTTGTTTGGAGTCCAAAGCTACAGCATGAAAAAGGGCACCGACATCTTGAAAAAATCCTGGAATGTCTTAATTCCCGGATTGTTTTCGCGGGTAGAACGCCCAAACGAAGACAGACAGCAAACACAAAATCACGATCAGAATAATGACATGTCGACCAACAACTATTACAACCAAGTTAAAACTAATTGCACAATGCACATCATAAAACACCTGGCATACAAACAACAACATGCCTTTCTGATGCAAGTTCAGTGGTCTCAGTGGCAAACACGACTCAAGAAGAGCCTTAGCAAAACATGTAACAAATGTTTATCAACATGTAACAACAGCACCAGTCTTAGAAAAAACGTCACCCGGCTCCACATGGCAAACAGATTTGTGTTCTTTCTGTCTGTTGTCTGTCGTTCTCGTTTCCCTCTTCTGATTCATGATTCATGCCGCCCCTACACGCTGGGCGCATCGTGATTTCATGCCCACCTTTCCAGCGAGCTTTCTCCCGCTCCAGTTCCTGTAATGAGATCTTCAAGCGACGGTTCTCATCGGCAAGCTGATCAATCCTGGGTTCGCTCCGGAGTGGAGATCGGTCACAAAGTCATCCGGCCGCTTCTTTGGACCCCTTCAAGAAGTGACCTTCAAACGTGAAGGTCATACACTCGGGATGGCATGAACATGGGACCTGGCATGGACCAGACTGGAAGACGATGTTCTTCGATGCCGCGATGCCCCCGTCCGGCCAGAAACACGGTCCGTGACGACCGCAGAAGCGCTCCCGGTGTGAAGCAAAGGAACCGGGAAGAGGTGACATACTGTTAGAGAATTGTGTTTTTTGGAGGTTGGGGACTTGAATGCGAAGCAACACCTTTGAGGGATGACTTTGGCGATGAAAAACGGTGCTGTACTCATGTTGGCACTCGCAGCACTACATCTGGTTGATTCTTGTTGATTCCGGGTCCTTGTTGGCATGAACAGGCAGGTCTCTCCAAAATGCCACCATCCACGACACCACAAAAGGGTCAAAAAGTATCAAACAGTGGCACCGACACATCAAACAAAACAGTGCACCAACACGTCATGAGCATTGCCGCCCTGATCAAAGGCCCAGACACGACTAATGGGACTGCCATATGCGCCGCTCCAGAAAGACCCCCAGTCCACCACCCCTGGCCTGATCGGCATATATGACATACATGGAGTGTCTGGGATATCATCACAGAAGCTCCTAGACAATATGGCTTCGACTGCGGGTATTGCCCAACGCGACTTCATTGCTCTGTGCTAGTTAGCGGCCCTGTATGCATGCTTGTGCATGCAAATGGGGTAATGAACAACAAACTCCATGGTAAAGACCAATCACTTCTCATCCTCTACATATTGTCTGCGCAGGTTGCCTCATTCTTCAGTAACTTCTCATGTCCTAAGCCCCGCTAAGAAGACCGGTCATGTCAAGGAACCAAGTCGTACCCAGATGGGCCGAGCGCTGTCGGATCTTGGCATTTCAACCAACCAACTGTCTGACATCGTTCCTCCCCGCCCTCCTCACGTGACACGGGAGCATCGTCCCAAGGATCTCTTGCTGCTTCTGCGCCATCACGCGGCCCTTGAGATTCGATAAGGAGTCCCTCAGCCTCCAAGAAAGGACGGACACCCAACTGGCGATGCGGACAGCACCGAAGAATGGTCAGGGCAAAAGGACGTTTGAAGCTACACCGTGGAAAACTAACATGGACCCTGAAAACCACTGGTTTGTAGAGGAAACAGCCTTACCGGGTCCCATTCTCAGGGTCCATGTTAGTTTTCGGGAGTGTATTCCTTTCTGGCCAAAATGATTTCTTATCTTGATAGAAGCTGCGCCAGTAGCCGAGCAAATCAATGTGCTTGCTCGTCATCGCGCCCGCGATGTGAATGATACAATCTTGCAAAGCGTTTCTTCTGTTGTTTTTTGGGGTGTGTCAAGGGGTTTCACGCAATGAAGCCATATCCGAAAAAGGGTGGGATAGGCGGGATCCGTTGATTTGTTGTGTTTTTTCGTCCTTCACGTTTTTAATTTTGTGAGGCCAGTGCTGCCTATTTGTTCCAGTGGATGTTGATCACTTCAATACCAGCACAAACTCCCTTCCTTACCGCACAACAAGTGAAACATAAACAACCTTGTCGAGCAAGTGGCTGATAACCACTTGCAAAACCAGCAAGGCAGTTTTCTTCAGCGGGTTCCTTGAGTTATCAGCTAAGACCTCGCTTAGATTCGAAAACAAGGGACCCCCTCAGCAGCTCTCTCCTGCACAAATTCCATATGTCTCCATTCCATCGTTCGGCTTTCATGGTGAGGCAAGGGGCTCTGCTTCCACCCTTTCTCGCTCTTGCAGGGCCTTTCCTTAGGCTCTCAAACATGTGCAGAAGTGTACTTCTGGTCTTCAGGTCCCCCCAAGAAACCACTCTGTCCCTTAGTAACATGTTGGTCAGTGGGGTTCAACGTTTTGATCCATACGATCAGCTCGCTTCACCACCCCCAAAAGACGGTCAGGTCGGACCAGGATCTTCAACCACTAAGGGATGGACCCCAAGCTGGGAAGAAGGACGAATCATCATGTGCCAGCGTAGACCCCAAACAGTTTCATCATATGTTGGGCGCAACTGCATGAATTCTGATGTTAGCGGTGACGTTGGCATTTTTTAAAATATTCCTGTAGCCTCCAGCTGTTTGGGAATGGCATGTCAAACAATGAACACAATATTAAAATCTTCCTGATTCGCGGGTCATCGAGGGGGTATAGTCATGTGGCCAAAGGGAAGGACAAAAGGAGCACAAGCTTCGCAAGCGTGAGGAGGACCAGAGGAGGACACAGGGTTTCCAGAGCGTGGCCGGACAGGAGCAGAAGGACAACAGCAGGACAACTGGAGGACGACACCCGGATAGAGGGTTCAGGGGCGCGGCTTGAGACTGTGGTGTCTTTCCTAAGAGAGAACCCCAACAGTAAACGGTTTGGGGAACTTTAGTCAACCTGCCAACAAAGACCCTAACGAAGATCAACATAATGATATAGTATAATATTACTATATATTACTATGAAGTAATATATATATATATACATATGAAAGTGCTTTAAGAACATAACGGCTCAAGTTACATAGCCCCCCACTTGTTTATCATGTTGGCGGATTCTTGGACTCCTGCCTGCAGGTGATACTGAAGGTCTCTAGAATCAAAGCAATGCTTTTGCTGTGTCATATTGTAGAATTTTACCATTGATGTATCCTCTAAGATTATCCTCCTCTCCAGAGGGCTCCAAATCCCTTCTGAGAAGGTGTTGGGGGTGGGTTTTGAGAGTCCAAATACCTTCTGAGGAGGAGCCCTTGGGGTCTCATCTATAGCTCTCCATGATTCTACCAGATCTGCGCCCAGCGTCGCAAATGCCGCTTCTCCTCCTCCGCTCGTTCCACGCTCTCGGTCAGCCTTCGGACGTCTGCCTCTAGTCTCCTTGGTGGTCAAAATAAGGGAAGAATCAAGGTCACATATCTAACATGTGGATCAATTCACAAATGCAAAAGCAACGTCTGCAATGTTGGATTCATCTTTGGAAAACATATGATGGACATTGATGGACACTCCAAACCACCAGTGCTTTTGGCGAACAAGCAAGATTTTCCTCCTGTCATCTTTTGTGACAACACGCTGCTCCAAAGCGCTCACTTTCTTTCACTTCGAGTTTCGGAAAGACATTTTCCGGGTTCTTTGGTCATCTATAATCAAATATTGTAAATCCCCTGAGGCTTGACCACCCTGGTTTGCAAGCCCAAAGATCAGTTGCTGACAGGCAAGGTTGTTGACTTAACTCACCTCATCCAAGATCGTTGTCTTTTGGTCTACTTGTGTGGCCCAGTGACCGAGGATCGTTCCACAAATAAGCTTTCGAATGCTTTTGACATGAACAAGGATGGACACCAACTCAGCCCCAGTCACAGCTTTTTGCTTGCACAGGAAATTTGTTGGGTCACCTTCCGACCTTCCTCTCACGTTCAAAAAGAAAGGGACAACATGGAACAACCAATCCCTAACTTATCATGTGAATTGAAATCTTGGTGTTGTATAACTGTATGATTATCTAAATACATATATATATATATATAAATCTTGCAAACAATGAACGTTTGATAACGTTTGTTTACATCATTGCCCGATATTGCCCAGCTGCTGCAGCTCTTTCTGCTTTTGCAGCAGCTCTTGTCTCTTCTCGGTCTCCATCCTTTCCCGCAGCTGCTTTTCCTCGATGGACGTCACCCGTCAGTTCTTGACCCCCGTAGGCGGTTGGACGTTCGATTCCGGTGGGTGGATGGGCTAACATATATAATTGATAATGCTTTCAAAGCACCCTCTAAGATGTCTTTTTGAGACGGGGCGTCACCTTGTGCCATCTACTCTCAATCTACGAAGATTGGTCAGATTAGCCAAGATCGAGGCGTGGTGACAACCACAGTGTTCAGAAAACACCTCTGGGTCTGTCTACCTGGCTCCCGGAGTGGGGCATTGGTTTATTGCAACAAGTCCAAAGTGATACCCCCAAATATAGAAACGGTTTCCAACACATTTTTCAGTGGGGATCTACTTTTTGTTACTTTTCTATCTATTTGGCGGTCTCAAACGGAGGACCGGTCTCGCCTTAAGCTCGGCGCTCCGTAGGCTTTCCATCTGCAAGTCCCTGAGCCTCAAAGATGCGCAGCTGCACAGCTGGCAGACTTCCCACGGTTCCCGGACGCTGAACCCGTCCCGACCTGAGTCAACCTGGACCCAAATTCTACGGCAAAAACCACAAGAACCCAAAGAAACCGTCAGTGCTGCATAGATCAGCAACAAGGACATGGTCGCTATAAAGACATCAGAACAATGGACGATGACTGAATAACACATTATGTAATCAGAACAAGGGAATGGTCACTCAAAGACTTGCTCTGCATTATCAGCTGGCCTATAAGCCCATCACTGCCGACGACTTAACAAGTGCTTCGAACAAAATATGTTGTCCCTTTAAAGAGAACCCACTTTAGAAATGCAATTGGACATCATTTCTGCCTCTTGCAGGTTTACTGTGTAGATCCAAAGAAAGGCCCTGCTACTGTCACCCAGTGACGAATGAGCCGCTACTTCGTGCCAGGCAGCTCAGCTTCAACCCGGTCCCGCTCAGTCTGGAGACGTGCGACCTCCTCCTGCTCCATTTGAAGCCTCGTGTGACGCGGAAGGAAGTTCTCAGTGAGAAGGTGGAAGCCGGAAGCCTGCGAAGCTTACGATCTCTGTCAGGTGGAGCTTGCCACCAGGCAAAAAAAAACTGTCTTGGAGCCTTCCTTCCTTTCTTCTGAACATTTCCCCGCGATGAACCACTCGCTTACCTGGCACCACCGCATACCACCGCCAGCCCAGTCACCGACGGCTCTTGTCCTGCTCGCTTTGTTCCAGAAGGCTCAAAGCCTGGCGAGTCGTCCAGCAGGACGGAAGGCGACCTGCACCTTCGCTACGACGGGTCACTGGGACAGCCCGGCAGGCAGCATGGATTGACCAGATTTCTGGTGGTCTCTTGGGCAGGATCCGAGTCGATGATCGCCAACAAGAGCGATGCTCACGAACAACTATGGCAAAAACCACCCCCCAAACATTAGCAGATCATTTGTCTATATCATATCCTCATAATCCTCATATATCATTATCCAACGCAAAAATCCAAACATCAACTCTGGCTATCTCTGGCAGACGTTTCTAGACTCAAACAATAAACATCCGACCGTTTGTCAACGAATGCTGTTACGAAACTTCATGCGTCTCGAGTTGGTCCCAAACCAGATCACCCTCATTTGGGTGATTGGCTGATCTTTTCACAAACCCAAATGACACACGTCCCACACACCTACCTTGTACCCCCGGGGGAACAACCACCCCATTGCATTCAAGCACCCCATCACCGACTCCCGAGAGTCGGAGGCCTCCTTCAGTCGGAGAGTCTCTTTGGACTCGCTCCTGGGATGGGCGACTCGAGGCAGGCGCTTCGGGTGGAGGCTCCGGTGGCTCCAGTTCGGAGTCGAGGATGGCCACCAAGCTGTGGGTTAAGAAAGCTGCGTGTTTTTCCGCATCGGCGAAACGGCTGGAAAGGATTGGCCATGGATTGGCCTTGGAAGGCCAAAAGGTTGTTATTCCCCATGGGGTTTCCGTTGTCTCCTCTGCTGGCGCGCTTTCTCAGCCTCGGCCCGATCGTGCTCCGCTCGGAGGCGTGCCAGCTCCTCACAAGCCAGAGGGTCCCGTCTTCGATTCAAACTGAGCCTGACTGACATAGGAACATGACATCGGATCGGAAAAGAAAGACCATCGGAAGTTGAACCCGCGTGCTGAATGTAGCAATCTCAGCCCAGATCGTGCCTTCTGAGCCATCTCCTCCTGCCTTCCCTTCTCATCCAAACTCCGTCGGCAAAGCTCTAAGTCTTCCTACGACGGGTCGAGGGCCACAAAACATCCAAAAAACTGGGATAAAGTTGAAGTGATCAAGGATCAAACAGGGATTCCCTGAGAAGTTGCAGATCTGCAGGCTACACATGGCCACGTTTCCTCACGTCTATGCTTCTTGACCACATGACCATCTTTGCCTGAAGTCCATTGCAAATCTCCCGCATCCGCTCCTCAGTTGCAGTTGATTCAAATTAAGTGGCATGTATTTTGGGTTTCTGAGTGAGGAATCCACGACCATCAACGACCCTTGGAGTGTCACGCTGTTCTTGAATAAATGGACTCGCCACATGCGACATCTGGCGGAAAACAAGGACCTCCTGAGTTTCACTAATTCGCCTACAAACAACTACTATACTCTACCGCAATACAAAATCTATACAGCCTGCCCCTGTCAGGTCAAACAACTATGTGTAGAAGGGGGTAGCTGCAGGGATCCAGGAACCTCATGGAACCTCGATCATCCCAAACATCGCCGTGCTTGGAGTTGACGGCTGGCTCAGTTCCAAAACTGTGGAACAGGTGACCTAAACTCAAATCGATCAGGCTCACCCGCCTGCATCAACAAACGGCTGCATCTTTGAAAAGAATGTCCACCAAGATTAACTGGCCTCTTTTTCCACCAAGGGTTGCTGAGGGATTTTAGGAGGAGAGTAGGCCAGCGCAGCTCCTGTGTCATGGTGTAGAGTTTACGAGCAAAAACGGCCTCGTCCATTCCAAACAACAGGTGCCTGGTGGATCTTGATCCGAGTCACTAGCTCTTGTGCATGGGATCCTTAGTGCGCCAATCTGATCAACAACGCACCCTCTGAGTCACAACTTGAGTTTATGGCATCTATGGATCCCTCATGGCCACCTGTTCCACCAGGCATCAGGTGTCCCAGTGCATGGGCGAGTAGTGATCCCATCCGCCCCATTGGTTCTTCCACGGCCCTTTTCCCTTATATGAAGGGCCGTTCTGCAAGGTCCTCCTGCTCCAAGTGGAACGCTTTTGAGGTTTCTCTCCCATCGAAGGATGTTCAAAACCACTCGTCTCTCAACAATGTTATAGATTCAGTGTGATGAACAACCCCAGATTTTTGTAAACTTTCACCCGCAAAACACTGTTTAAATGGAAGTGCCACCTTGCAACACATGCCTTGAAATAGGTGTGGACTGTGGACATTTCCATGTTGCACCCGGGCATCTTCGTCTGATGCAAAGCCTCCTTTTTGAACATCCATGCATGCAGCGGCGTTTCCACCAAATCTCAGAGTAGTGATCATAATTCGGATTCCCTTGGATATAGATCCAAATTTACCAGCCACATTGACATTGCCATATGGCCTCAACACCAAAAAAGTCAGGACTAGGGCTATGGGTGTTGCACGTTCGGGACTCCATTTTCACTGCTCACATTTGATTTTTTACATTCTCACCGTATTCACACCCTTGTCATTGGCCTGATGGTCTGAATGTACCAAATGATGGCCAAAGGTCTCTTGCAATCCCAAGATGGTCGACCGCCGTGACTTCCAAAGTCTGCCAACCTAAAAGGGTTCCACAACGGTCCCGATGATTTCCACATTGATAGGACTACTCAAAAGGTTGCTTTCCAACTCACCAGGATGAGATGGCTTTACCACCGGTGCGTCCCAGGAAGAATGGGTTTCCGGGACTTGCTACATCCAATCCACTTGCATGGCTGGATGAAACAATAATCCTGGACGGCGTGTCAAGCCGAGACTCTTTTCGCTTCCAGTTCCAAGGCTTCCAGCCTCACCTGCCAATTGCACACATCTGTTTCTTGACGGACCAAATGCATGATTGAACAATTGGATCTCGGTATACATATATATATATACATCCCGCTGGTACCTAGGATTTTGGCACAAAGCGTTACACCATCGACCTCCCTCTTGTTTCTGAGCCACGGTGCCTAACGCAACAAAACTTTTAGAGACAGCAAAAAATAACGGGCATTAAAACACAATCTACAGCAGCAAGCGTCAGCAGAAAGCACCATTCACAGCAGGGCACCAGTAGCAAAGTTTCATTGCTTCCAAGATCGATTTAATGTTCTCGTCCGGCTTCTTGGCCTCAAGCAATGGGCGAAAATCGGGCTCCAAGTCAGCATACCACGTGAGCCCACCCAAATCCTACAGTACAACAATACGGGCGCGAAAAAGGACAATAAGAGACAACATGCAGAGCAACCAAACAAAACCCTTTATAGCAACAACGCAAGCATCGTAGGCAACTCGACAGAGCATCAACTTCAAGAAGACGTCGATGATGTGGTCCGCGGGTTGCGCCAACCGGATGTCGGGCATCTTTCTGAGTGTGCTAGAGGTTTGCTGGAACTTTCAACAGTTCTGGCACCAGACTATCACCCCAAAATAACAAGGATACTTAGCTTGGAAACCTCACTGGAGCAGCGCGCAACCAATCGCAGCAAGCAATCTCAGGGCAAGTTGAAACAGGAGCAAGGCAGACACCAAAAACGCTCACCAAAACGTGACGATCTTCTGGGCGCTTGACGTTTCTACACCTTAGAATGTTAAAATACCACCCTTAGTCTATAGGGCCTCAAAGCAAAGCAAAGCACCTCGGTCTGGACATTCTTCATCCGTTTAGGATTAACTCGCAATTCCGAGCCACAGCCTGGGCCCAAATACTTTCAGCCGGGTACTGGGTTGGCAGCGGTATTCCTTCTTCGGCCGCTCAGTGCAGGCTGAGCATCCAGCCACACAGCCAACATCCAGCCTGGGCGCTGGGTGCCAGGTTTTGCCAGTATATAATCCTTCAGCCACCCTCATTTGCCAACCACCAAATATGGTCGGCGCCATCTGCGGACACATCGTCATACAGGTGTCTGCAAAAATATATCTATTTATGTCCCATGTATAGTATTGAACATTATTGAACCATATCACCAGTTAAAGCTGTCAGTGCATGTACCTCGGATGTCCCAAATAAACAGTTCTGCCATTTGCACAACAGCTTGACTTGGTGGGGTCCGTTCTCAACCTTTTCCAACATGAAAAAATCCAAATATGTCGCATTAACAGGTTTGGCAAGCTGAAGTCGCTGGCAAGTCTGAAAGTCTGAAATAGTCATGCGCGCTGGGCGACCAATGCGTTGAGTCTCCACACCACGAGCGAAGGCTGGGCCTTCCCAAAACTGGTTGAACATCTCGGTCACGGTGAGCCTCCAGCCAGAGCGTTCCTAGAATTTAAGCCATGTTGGGGGGTCAAGCATCTTTAAGTGGCGAAAACGAAGGCCAAATACAGTAGCACGGGCTACTGTTTTGGAAGAAGAAGGAGCAAAAACCCAAGACGATATCACGGGATACCGTAAGGGAGAGAGGTAACAGGGCCACCAAGACGCAAGAACTTTCAACTATCTACGAGATAGGGTTCAGACAAACTACGCAGGCAATCTCTTCTCTTTAAGAGATAACCATGAGCCACCTGCCCATCTATTAGATGGGTTTGAACCGAAAGCCTTGAGCCAAAGGGTACGGACTGCCTCCAAACTTTACATGGATTGGACCTGCGGCCTGTGAACGTTGTCAGCTTGTTGATCTCTCATGTACAGAAGTTACTGAGATTGTGGGTTCTGCCTTCGCACACTGTAAACACTTGCAACACCTACGGCTTCCACACAAACTTCGACTAATCGAGCAGGAAGCTTTTCTCAAGTGCACCTCGTTGAAAGAGGTCAGTGTTCCACACGCTGCTATATATTGCCAGACGTGCGTTCGCCGGCTGCACGCAGCTCTGCCAATTTCAAAGAGTGGGGAAAAGCGTGACCTGGAGGGGCACATACTCCAGGGCTAATGCGTTCCTCAAGTGTGACAATCTTGACATGCCAAAGTGGGTTCGTCTGTTGCCACTTAATCGGAAAGATGAGGACAAATGGGCAGATGACTCCTATGCAGTCTTAAATTAGTGGTGAGTGTCTGGAGATGCATGCTGCCGAGCCCTCCAGCTGGCACCCGTGTGCTGGCCCTGACCATGTTAGAGGCCACCTCTCTAGAGCACACTTTGCTATCACGATAGCGATTCAGTACCTCCACTAGATAGCTGCCCATCAAAGCACTGTTGTACACCTTTTTGGAATGTGCCCGTGACCAGGACCAAGACAACCACAGGACCAACAGGAAAGCTCTGCCACAAACGGCCACTTACTGTGGCATCTACCTGACATTGCCCTGCCCTACTGCTGGGGGAAGTAAATTAGCCGCAGAGAATTTGAGGGTTTTGGAGGCCAGATTCAGCTTCTGCAGTCCTTCTTCTTTTCTGCAAATGAAGCTTCAAACATGGCTCATCGGAGGGTGAATAATAGATACTATCAAGACACAAGGGTGTGTCAGCTACTTTTTTGGGCAACTCTGATGGAGGAGGTTGGAGTTCCTTGAAAACAAAAGCCGGTGCATAGAGGTTCTACATAGTTGGAAATCAGCCTCGTCTGAGATCCACCTGTAGGCCTTGATCGGCGACTTGAGGTTCTACATCCAATCGTTTGGCAAAACATCGTCATAAAGGTGTGTGTGTATATATATATGTGTGTGTGTTTGAATACTATATATATCCAATATTTTTCTGTTTGATTCAAGCTGTTGTGCACATGGCTGAAGCGTTTGTCTGGGACAGCTCTGGTGATAATATGGTTCTTTTCATGACTATACGATCAAACCGAAAAAGTACAAACACCTTTTACGACGACGTGCCCGAAGATGGAGTGGATCTTTAGATGAGTCTTGCTGCGTCGGTGAAGCAGCCCCCTGTCTGGCAAACCACCCCCAGCCTTCAGGGATTGGAAGTATATGCAGGACACTATAAAGAAGCTGGCCGAACTCCAAGGGCAAAGGCAAAGCTTTCAAAGTTGGAAACTGGTTCATGCAAAAGGGATCCTGGTTGAGCCATAGGGGAAAAGGTGCTAGAGGGAAAAGGTGCGACTTGCAAATTCAAAGCTTCAAATTAGCAAGCTCCCGAGTTCCACGTCAAGGACGGTATCCTTTCATACGTTCAGAATCGGTCACGTCCGCCGGGGGTCCGCTGCGGGTCCGGCAGATCAGCGCGATAAGCGATGCGTTGGCCCAAAATGACTTTATACTCTTTCAAGATGAAACTGTTGCAGGTCAGAATCACAACGTCGGCCCGTCTCCTCACAGATTATTCAGATGCGCATGCTGCGACAGATGGCTCGTTTCCGGCACACGAGCTTTTACCAAAGTCTCTTTGGCTTGTGGCACCCTTCCTTCAGGATCTCGATGTGGCTGCGCTTGACCATGGGAAAAGGGAATGACAAGTGCAGCGGCACCCAGAGGCACAGCAGTTGCAAATAGGTAGCGGACTACCGGCCTGAGCCAAAATCAACATGTGTCTCTCCAATTGATGGCATGTGATCATATTCATCATCCATATTCTGGTTCACACCTGCGAGTTGTCCGGGTTTATGATGCGAGTGTTTTTCTTGGGCAGTGGCGATGGCGTGTCCAAATCGACCGCCCCGCAAACCCATTATGATGCCAAGTGTGCAACTTTGAGGGCAGGCTCCTGCTTGATGGGAGTTCGGGTATCAAACCAACCTGAGGATGTACTGCCAACCATGCGTAGTCCTGTTGCTCCACTTTCATGAAACCGGGGCAGGGGTAGGGTAGAGCAGTAGGTGGCTTGGGTAGCCGCGCTTTATGGTGGATCGAAAGTGCACTAAAGGTTTGACGAAGGACTCTATTTGATGCAGCCCGTTCGAGCTGAGGTCATTACCTTTAATATTTTTGTGCGCCAACCTTGGCACTCAAATTATCAAGGGTTTGAGCATTTATGGAATCCTGCGTCAACGTGTTTTATGGAATCCTTGTGCTGACGTTGCAGGGGCTCATGAATGGCAAGCATCCTGGCTTAATGGATTCCTGGTTGAGGGGTGTCCTTCGGAAGATTCATTAGTTCATTATATGTTGGATTGTTGAGCAATCTGATGTCGGACCTTTTTTCTGCCAAGTCGTCGTCTAGCCGGGGCACGTGAAAGTACAGCCGCATGTGGAGTGCCGACGTGATTCCTCAGTATGTTTCCCGTACGTTTATCGGGCCGTGCTTGTATTGTATTTGTGTGGCGTATAGCTGTTTGGTTGTTTCTGTGTTGGTTGCTTTATGCAAATATAGTATTGCCACCTGCTACGCCTGCTCAAGAGTCGTGTATTCGTGTGATAGTAAGGAATAGGTATGAATAGATATGCAATGATATGAATAGTATCTAATCCTTCACCTACACGTCTCCATATACCTCCACAATCCTCCACATTCATTAGAAAGATCGAATTATCAAACACTTGAGGTTATTAATGGTTATTGTGGTTCTCTCATAATATCTCATGATAATCCATGATATTATGATATATCCTTGTTCTTCCTTGTTTTGCGCTGTTTTCATCAACTGCTTGGGATGGGAGCCCTCCAAAGAATCTTGGAGCATCTTGGAGCACTTGAGACAAAACATGTTCTCTTTGTTGTTTTTCTCTCTCTCTCTCTCTCTTTCCCTCTCTGTGTCCGCATGTGTCCGCTTTGTGTTTGGATACATGGGTTGGTCATGGTTGGTCCACAATGGTCCCTATATCGGTTGTTTCCAATCTTGAAGGTGGCCCTGAGCAATTAAGTAGATGATTTTGCCTTATACATTCTGATACTCACATGGCCCTGATCCTCCATGAGCCCCCACGCCAAGCCCAACCAAGAAACCCAACCACCTTCAACCATCTTCAACCACTAAAACAAATCA